CCTGAATTCTCCCAACTTTCTATCCCTGTTCCAAAAGATTTATCCAGTCCCCCGCCCATGAAAAACTACCCTCGAACAGAGGAGGAGATGAAACCCTATAAGTATCGAACTGCGATGGCTACACCACACTTCTTTCACACCTTGCAAAAAAAGAAAGGAGAAGTTACTTTTTCGGATAGCTGACTTCTGTCCATTTTTCCCTGCGAAGTGCTAACCCGTATTTCAGCTCTCTGCAGCGTTCACGGTAATCAACTCCACTGAAAAATTAGCTCACAAAGTGAAGATGAGTTATCAAAACTAAACCGAACTCACCAATACCAATGAGCATCCACCAGATCTTGGTATGATGCCGCAGGATTTGACATCACGTCCAACCACTCAAATCTAGCTTTGGAAAGCAAAACACGCATCTTGTCGTCATTCTAAAGTTTGTTTGTAAACCGTAAGTATCTTCCTTTCCGTTCTTTCGTGTGATACTTTAGATAGAATACAGAATGTACATAGAATTGTAAGGCACAGTTCACGCTTATTGAGTGGGCGGAGACGATCAACCATTGCTCCTTCTTCAAAGATGCGTCTCTACTTCGAGGATGATAAGAGGATGGACATTGAAGAAGGTGCATTGGTTGACTATCTCCGCCCACACCGCCAGCATGAACGGGTAGTGAAAGGCATCGATCTTCAAGTTTCTTCAGAGCTACTACAGATTGACTATACTAACGCACCTGGACCTTTATCGGTAGAGAACGGAGTGCTGCTGTTGAACCGAGGGCTAAGTAAGGTATCCTTGAGAAGCTCAAGAAACTGTTTATTTTCCACTCTGTTACCATCCAACGCTGCCAAATGTCGCATGTTCTCCTTTGCCATCAACCTGCAACTACCGAGTGAGGTTAGGCCGAGCGGGGATCCACGCCCCTACCGGCCTCCGCGAGCAGACCCTTAAACAAGAAAATTCCTCTCAGCATATCATAAAGTATAGTTCGTCACCAGCAAACGCATGCGTCGGAGGTTCGCCAAATATGACGACAGGGCACCTAACGAGAGAGCACATTCCATCAAAATAAGGGTTTCCATCTAGGGCGATACGCGAGAGACGATACAGAACCAATACCATCGACGCACTCCGCCAAGCAACGTGCCATTCTACATCGAGCTGATTCCATGGATTCATCCACTTCTGCAAAAATCCTTGACAATTGTCTTTCAGGGCACGTCGTACGCTGGGAAATCCTCAGAATGCGTATCAGGTCGGTGGACGGAGGGAGTCGTACTCGATATAACAGAAGTTTTTGGATAGTTGAATTTTTTTTTCTGTTCTACGCGCGCTATCCTTATCGTTGGAAAACTACCTTGGGGGGGCGTACCAGAGAAGGAAATTAGGAAAGTTAGGGTGGGTAGGAGTGGCGATTATACTTGCAACACCACTTTTACCTGTTCAAAGGCAAGGGATCGCTGAAGGTGGGTGTTGCAGTCAGCGTCAGGAGGGCTACGTGAGAGCATTTGGCCTCACCCAACATAGCCCTTCCATCAATGACACTGGCGACGACCGTCCGCCCTAGCCATCGTACCCACTGCCTTTGAACCGCAACCTAGATCATCTGCAACACCCGTAACGCCAAATGTGAATAAAATTACCTGACTCTACTACAAGACTGGCGTACTGTAGAAGTATACTTATGGCTGCCTCCCCATCAGAACTGTCCATCGCTAACACAATAGGGTGCGAGAATCTGGCACAGCTTTTGGCTGAAAAACTAACTAGCAATATGTTTTACACTAGGACCCACATGGTCACTCCACCTTCAGATGCTTAATTTCAGTCAACCGGAAAATTCTGCTAATCTAATACGGAAAGTACTGCTTCTGACGCGTTTTAGAATCTCAGAAAAGTACCGCACCTTTGCTTTATAGGCGCCGTTCAAGCTAATCATGTGGACGAAAACACCGAGTCATCGCGTCTTCCTACATCGGCCCACCTTCTCCTTCACCTAATTGGAAAGGGCGTGATAGTTGGGTATCTCCGCCCACACGATTAACGCGGATGACGCCCTCAGAATCTCGTTTACTTCCATTAAAGGAAAAAGTAAAAAAGTAGAAATTAAAAAGATCAGTACTTTTTTATTTCTATTCGTTTTCAACCACCCGATACACATATAGTAAGCCAAAATATCCCACCATCCGGACAATACCATCATTAGGATATCGTAAAGCACTGAGGACAGATACCTTGTTGAAGAAGGTTCTCCCATAAGATCGCGAAATTTCCAGTTAACTTGAGCAAGCTAATCAGTTCAGAATGATATGAACAACTAACGCGCAACGTCTCCCAATGCTTAGACGCCCTCA